GGCAACCATACATTGATATTTCTCCCTCTCTCCTTCCCTTCTCCTCTAAAGATAATAAAATCTTTAAAAAAATAAAATAAAAATAAAAGGCACATACCTAGGTTGCAGCTTTTAGCCTGGAAGACGGAGACTATGAAGTCTAGAAATAAACTAAATACATAGAATTTAGTATATGATCAAAATGTAATCTTAAAATAATCAACACCTTAAATAAACAGTGTTGGAAGAAATGGGTAGCCAATTAGAAAAAGATAAATCTGGATACACACCTAATACTATATACCAAGAGAAACTCTAATTGAATTAAAAATATGAATAGGAAAATAAAACCCTATAAAAATTATAGCCTTGTAAGGATTTGAAAGTACAGCTAAATTTGGAATGGGAAAGGCATTCTTCTCTTAACTTGAAAAAAAAAAGTTGCAACTCATTTCACAAAGAGCTAAACTTTCTAATGCAATTTAAACAGGCCTTAAAAGAAAAAGGCACCCACCCCCAAAGAAAAATGAGATACGAACAAACAGTTCTCAGATAAACACATGTGACCCTTAAACATATAGAAAATACTCAACCTCACTCATAATGAGGAATATAAATTAAACCTAGAATGAGATACCAATATTTATTTATGCCTTTGCTTTGCCCCCTCCCCCAAATCAACTATTGTGGGAAAATAGGTGCTCTTGTACTCTGCTAAGTGCTAATGGGAGTATTAAATACTTAGTAACAAGGGCAACTCCACTTGTACCTATCTGCTTTAGAGATATTCCTGTGTTAAGGACAAAAATGACACAGATAAAAAAAGAAATTATTCATTATTGCAGTTAGTAACAGCAAAAGATTGGAAATAACCCCAGTGTCCAACAGAATGAACTATGGTACATGCACAGAGTAACATTTATTCAGCAGTTACAAGGAAAAAAAAAAGATAATGATTATCAACAAAGGAGATCTCCATGACATATTGTTAAGTGAACAAAGTCAGTAAGAGATGTATATAGTATGCTACCTTTAATGTAAGGAAGGTGAGGTATGTGAGAGAAAAAGAAATATACACTAGTGGCCCAACAAACAAACAATCCACTTAATAAACAAGAAAAAATACTTGAAGATTGTAATATGGGAGGGGAACAGAATGAGACAAGTATCTCTGAAATATATTTTGGTAAATCAGAAATGCATTACTTTTCTAAATGATCAAATTCATTTTCTAAAAAGCAATCCTTGAACTTGAAAACATATAGAAACAAATGAACCCAACTTGCTACCAATTATGTTACCATTAATTTGGTAGCATAATTCCTCAAAGAAAGGATTTATCTCAAATGCCTTAAAAACAGAGAACTTGACTACACATCTTTAGTACTATGCTTTCTAACCACAAAAATAGGTACAGTGAAGTTTCTCATGTAATACAGTGTTTATATTTATTATTAATATCAGCGGTATTTTGAAAACTTTTATGTTGCAGGACAAAGCTAAGAAAATTAAGTACTTATGTTAACTTGTTTCAGAATTTTTACTATAAAACACAGCTATGAGCTAATTGTTAGGTAAAAATACTGTACTATTTATAATGAATTAGAAATACTAATATGAACTCATGATTTTTAAAAATCAATTTCCTAGGTCTGTCACTGAAATGGCCTTGAAATAATGTTACCCCTGCAGCAATGAAAACATCCAGTACCCCGCCTTGCTCTCTCAATACCATTCTGCAGTAAAAGAAACCAGAGCTCCTTAGAGACATGGCCATTTCCTTGTCTGGGAAGGAAAGTACAACCTGGGCCTAGAGTAGGAAAGCTTTCAAATTTAAATAGTGACATATCAAAATAAAACAAATCAACTTGAAAGAGAGTCCCTGAGCTAAAAATGTGATGAATGAGAGTCACAAAGAACACTAGCTGCAGTTATCAGAACTCAACTTAAAATGAAGCTTAAAGAAGAAAAAGGCAGGAAAACTTTGAAACAATTTAAGGTAGCAAATAAATATCAAAGGAATGAAAAGTTATCACTTTGTAACCCCTTGGCTATTGATGAGCCAAGAATTATTTATTGGTGTTAAAACGATCCATTCAATGATTGGTGGGGAATGGACATTTGTATGATACCAAAGTAAAACCATACACATTACACCTTTGTCATAAAAGGACAAATACAATTAATGGTGGCCAAGTCACACAGTATGTCTCTACTGATATTATGCAATTTGAAGATCATCTCCCAAAAGTCACAATTGGGATTTTTAAAAATATCATCAGAGGTTCTGAATTAGAACCATAATAAAGTAATTATCATAGAAATCAAAGAACAAACATCACAAAGGCAGTGATGAGTTTCTAAGATGAATGTAACAAACACAGAAAGCTAACGTCCTCATTCCAGTTTTAAAAAGAAATGTCCCTCACCCAAAACTGTTTAAAAATGGAAATAAGGCCCTGGCTGGTATAGGTCAGTGGATTGAACATGGGCCTGCAAAACAGACAATCGCAGTTCGATTCCCAGTCAGGGCACATACTGGGGTTGCAGGCAGGTTCCCTGCAGGCCGGTTCCCAGCAGGGGACGCATGAAAGGCAACCATACGTTGATGTTTCTCTCCCTCTCTCCTTCCCTTCCCCTCTAAAGATAAATAAATAAAATCTTTTAAAAAAATGGAAATAAGAAGAGCCTCTTTCAGAAATCTCTAACAGAAACAGTAAGAACAACTGTACTATTTCTGAGAAAGTATTATTTTATGGATAGTAATAACAGTAGTAACATTTATCCAGTATTTGCTACATCCCAGGCACTATTCTACAGAATTAGAATTCCATGATCTGCACAACCACCCTGTAAATCAAGCATTATTTTCTCTATATTATTAGATAAAAAACTGAGGCACAAGTTTTAAGTGACTGCCTAAGGTCACCAAGATACAAGGTGGCAAAGGAAGGAGTTAACAGAAGCAGTCTTGCTCCGGGGCCTATTTCCTCCTTTAAAAAAAATAGCAAACACTAACTATTGAATATATACTAAGTTCATATAGTTAAAAAACAAACAAAAAGGTTTTTGCCTTTGCCCTACCCATCCCTGTACCACTGCTCTTAACAAAGATAGCCACTTTCCTTATTTCTCCCTTTTCTTACTCCATACCATATATTCTGCATATGGTGCAGAATATATGCACCATATATTGCATAGCTTGAAATAAGCTATAAAAAGCTTCCTTTTCATTCTTTTGTATAGCTGCTTATTACTGTTAAATATATGTACTATAATTTTATCCAAACAGTCTCTGAATGATAGGCAAGAACTGTTTCTAATCTTTTCTTCTGCCTAACACTAATGCACTGAGCAACCATGTACCCTTATTATTCCATGCAAATGCAGGTACACTTGTAGGATTAATTTCCAGGTATGAAATAGCTAGCTCCAAAACAACAACAAAAAAACCCACACAAGCAAACTTGTAGTTATATAGATACTGCCAAATTGCCATTCCTAGGCCAGCTTCATGCTACTACTATGTTAATTTCCAAGGATTTATATTTTCAAACATCACCAGTGGCTCCCACTTTCATGCACCCAACTGCTTTCCTTTTCCAGTTTTACTGGGTACTCTAGCTTGTCTATTTTTCCATCTGAAGTGCAGAATCAGTTTATCTAGTTCCAAAGGGAGAACTGTACTTTTATCTAAAACATATTAATCAATTTATTCAAGTTTGCACACACTTCTTTTTATCTTATTGAAAAACATGGTATATCTAATTATTCACATCTTATGTTAACACCCCTTAGTCCTTTAAAGTTATTTTCTGTTAGTTTTGCCTATTTAAGTTTATCCCTCAATATTTATTGCTCTTGTAAATATTGGTTTTCTTATGTCTTCTAACTTCTGTTATCTATTTGAATTTGGAGTCTATGGCCACACCACACTGAATGTGCTGGATCTAGTCTGATTTTGGAACTCAAGAACTTTAACCCTACATAACTTTAATAACAATTATTAAAAATTATGTGAAGGATAACTGTGGTTGGATTCCTTACAAAAAGCACCTTTGGAGACACGAATTTTTTTCATTACTTCACAAAATCCACAAATCTGTGACTACCTCCATTCATCCAGATTCTAGTCCAGACTCTTAAATAAAGATGGCAACAGAACCGGTTTCTTGAAAGAACGAAAATAATGCTGGACTCCCTAATTCTGGGCTTTCTGTGCCCAGAATATAACACTGCTTCTCAAAGTGTAACATTGATATTTAGTCTAGGACTCTTTGGGGTTAAGTAACCCAAAAGATCAGGGGATCGGAAATCGTCTGAGGCAGGCCCTCTCAAAACAAAAATTCAGCCCTGGCTTGTGTGTCTCAGTGGATTGAGCGCCAGCCTACAAACCAAAGGGTGGTGGGTTCATTTCCAGACAGGGCACATGCCTCAGTTGCGAGCCAGGTCCGCAGTAGGCGGCCTGCTAGACGCAACCACCCATTAATGTCTGTCTCTCTCTCCCTTCCTATCTCTAAAAATAAATTTTTAAAAAACCTCCTTTTAAACATTCATGGTTTTAAAAAAGAGTTAGAAATCATGGGGTTTTGCATTCCACCGCAATTAAAAACAAATGTGGTTTTATACAAAAATCCACTTTTAAATTATTTACAACTTAGCTCCCCCCCTTCAAATCTTCATGTAAAATTGATACTCCAGGAAGATGGCACCGTCATCAGCACTTTCGACCAGGGAAGTGCGGCTCAAATGTAATTACCTCAATACTAGTCTCCTATAGCTACCCCTCAAACACAGCCACACACAATCCTGCACTCAGTTTCTCACTCAATAACTTCAAACATCGGTAAAACTGAAAGTCACACATGCTCGAATCCTCTTTAAGGGCCGCCAACCCGACCCCACACGTAGGCCGAAAGCCGTTAAACCCACTCCCCCGGCCCCCGGCCGCATCCCAAAAGATCTGGAGTTCTCCCCTTCTACCTTCCGAACCCGACCGCACCAAGACACCCACATCCCACCTCCTACTTTCGCGCCACGTGGACCCACGGACGGACTGACCAGCGGACAAAGACCAAAATGTCCACTCGGTGCGATGCGCCTGCGCTTTCGGAGGGCTGCTGAGCAATCCCACAAGTCTCCGCGACTCAGCACGCACAGTCAATAAGGCCTATCCCAGGGTGGTGTCTGATTACCTACTATCAACAGCAATGCAGTTTTTCTGGCCTTAGACTACATTTCCCTTAAGGCTTTGCTGGTCGACACGTTGTCTCTTCAACTCGAACTTGATGGCTCTTCCTGCGATTGTGGCGCTCTTGGGACGAGTAGTCCTGCCTCGGAGGAAGTTCAGCTCGTGCTTAGTGAGAGGTCGGGAGTGGGAACTCCCTCTTTGAAATCTCCCGAGAACAACGTCAAGCGAACCAATTTCAAATTCTGAAATAGGAGGACGCCATCTTATCTGGCTGGTCCGGATCTGAACTACGTTTCCCAGAGTCAACAGCGGTGCGACGTTACCTCTTTCAAAGAGGTGACAAGATTGCTTTCTCCCCGCAGGGACCCACGCGGGACTAAGGGGAGACACAAGGTAAGGGGGGTCTGGGACTCTCAGGCGGGAATGGGGCGTGTCCAGAGCTTCGGGTGGGTGTGCTGGCTGTAGCGGGCTGAGGACGTCGCCTTTGAGTGAATCTTTGTGGCTGTGGTTAGGTGCCTGTGAGTGTGCGGTTGTGACCAGGGTATGTGTCTGGTTGGGTTTTTTGTAACCACCTGTGATAGTGTTGGATTGGGGGGAAGGTGAGAGTCTTGTGTCTGGGGGTAATACTGCCTGTGCCCCTGTTGTGTACATATGACCAGACCCCTTGTCCTTGGAGGTGTGAGTATAGTTGTAACTGTGCAATGGGCGTGAGTATGTGGGATATGATAACATGTTTCTAAGGTGAATGTATGGTTGCGCGGTATTATGCCCTTGTGTGGTACCATGGGCATTGTGTGTCTGTGACGGTGTAGTGACACTGTCATCCCAGTTACAACTGTGTATCCGTTGTCTTGTGCGGGTGTGGCATGTCTTTCCCTGTGTGAGTGTAGCTGTGTGTTTCCAGAATGAATGTTGAATTGTGACTGGTTAACATTGAGTTGGCCAGAGTAGAGTGTCAGTGTATGCGTGTGTCCCCTAAGTAGATATGTGATGTGTCTGTGTGGAGCATTTGTGAGTGTTGGTGTAGGGAGTCTGTGACTATATGAGAGAGATTTTGTGTGTCTCGGTGGTGAGGTTTTGTGATTATGTCTTTTTAGTAGGTGTGAGATTGTGACTGTGTATAAGAGTGTTGAGGTATCTATAATTAGTGTGATTGTGTCCTGTGTGTCTCAGGAGTGGATGTGTGGTTATGTTTGTGTGACACTGACCATTTGTGCAGCACCAAGTGTGTGGATGTGAGGTGTCTGTGACTCCAGTGCACTTTTTCACTGCCGAACCTGTGAAATTAAGACAGATTGTGGCCCTAGGCAGTGAGAACCTCAGCCTTAAACTGTAACACTGGGATTGGGCCGAGTGGCAAGTCTTCCCTGACTTCTCTCCTGTGTGGGAAGTAGGGAGTTGACCCTTCAAAAATATCTTGGTCCCTCATTATTCCTTTTTTCATAAACATGTATTTTACTGATTATGCTATTACAGTTGTCCCACTCCCCCCCCCCCTTTATTGCCCTGCATACCTCCTCCCACCCACATTTCCCTCCTTTACATATGTATGTCCATGGTCATACATATGTAAGTTCTGTGGTTTCTGCATTTTCCATACTATTCTCAACCTCCCCCTGTCTTATTCTACCTACCATTTATGATACCTTTCCCCCCTCCCCCACTGATAATCCTCCATGTGATCTCCATTTCTGTGATTCTATTCCTGTTCTAGCTGTTTGCTTAGTTTTTGTTTTTGATTTTTGATTTTTTGGTTCAGTTATAGCTGTGAGTTTGTTGTCATTTTACTGTTCATATTTTTTCTCTTCTTTTTCTTAGATAAGTCTCTTTAACATTTTATATAATAAGGGCTTGGTGATGATGAACTCCTTTAACTTGACCTTATCTGGGAAGCACTTTATCTGCCCTTCCATTCTAAATGAAAGCTTTGCTGGAGAGAGTAATCTTGGGTGTAAGTCTTGGGATTTCATGACTTCAGATACTTCTTTCCAGACCCTTTCTTGCCTGCAAGTTTTTGGGTGTTTGTTTGTTTGTTTTATGAGAAATGAGCCGAGAGTCTAATGGAAACTTCTTTGTAGTCAACTGTCTCCTTTTCTCTTGCTACTTTTAAGATTCTGTCCTTATCCTTAATCTTCGATAATGTAATTATGATGTGCCTTGGTGTGTGTTTCCCTGGGTCCAACTTCTTTGGGACTCTGAGCTTCCTGGACTTCCTGGAAGTCTATCTTCTTTGCCAGATTAGGGAAGTTCTTCTTCATTATGTTTTCAATTTCTTGGTCTTCTTCTCCTCTGGCACCCCTAGGATTCAGATGTTGGAATGTTTAAAATGTCCTGGAGATTGCTAAGCCTCTCTTCATTTTCTTTGAGTTCTTGTTTCTTCATTCTGTTCTGGTTGAATGTTTATTTCTTCCTTCTGCTCCAAATTGTTGATTTGAGTCCTGGTTTCCTTCCTGTCACTCTCTTTGTTACTTAGTTGTATTTTTTGGAGCTTTGAGCTGTTCTTTCATTTGGGCAATTTTTTTTCCCCTCTGGCACACCTGTTACATAGTAAGGGGACGAAGACTTAGATGTTCACCTTGTGTGGCAACCTACCTTGCTGCATTGTGATTGGTATGTGGGGGAGGGGTCCAAGAGGGAACAGTGCTGCTTGCTCAGCTCTCTGCCAGTTTTCGGTCACTTCCTTTGCTACCCACAAGCAAATTGGGCCTTTCTGGTGCTGATTCCCGGGTGGGTCGGTTTGTGTATGTTCTAGGACCCTGTGGGTCTCTCCAACAAACTCTCCTCTGAGGCCAGGAGTTTCTCCCAATGCCACTTCAACCCCCACGGGTGTTTTCAGTAAGAGATTTTAACTTTATTTCCCCATACTGTAACTCTAGGTTGTGTGGTCTGTCTTGCTCCCCAGTTGTTCCTCCGGCTTTATCTGTATGTGAATCTGGGACTGCCCAGTCTGCGAGCCACTGCCTCACCCACCCACATCCACCAGCCACTGCCTTGCCTGCCTAGTCCTCCAGCAGCTGCTTTGCTGCAGTCCTCTCCGCCCCTCCTACCAGTCTGGGTGAATGTTTTTTCTTTAACTCCTCATTGTCAGACTTCCATACAGTTTGATTTTTCTGTCAGTTCTGGTTGGTTTTTGTTTTTAAATTGTTGTCCTTCTTTTGGTTGTGCAAGGAGGCACAGTATGTCTACCTGTCTTGGCTGGAAGTCCATTATTGCTTTTTCTTAACTCCAAGAGAGATGTTCAGAGAAGGAAAAAATTTCTATTGAACATCTGAAAGCCAAGTTTAAGGTTTATCAAGTTTTCTTCTAACTTCCCTAAAATTCTTCTTGTTTTTCAAGATGTGCTTTTCTTTCCTTCTTTTTTGAGGGGAAGGGGGAAGAAAGAGAAAGAGAAACATCAATGTGCAGTTGCTTCTGGGCAACCAATGTGAGGGTTACCTGGCTCCCTACTGGGGATTTGGCCCGCAGCCCAGGCATGTGCCCTGACTGGGAATAGAACAGGCGATCCTTTGGTTTGCAGGCCAGCACTCAATCCACCTAACACCATTATCCTCCCTCCTGCCAACATGACCTGGTTTCTAGTAGTAGGTGCCATTGAAGTAAATTACTGGGTGCCTTGGAGGTGAACTGAAAGGCACTCCTGGCTCTCTGCATACCTAATATTCATTAAAAAATTTTTTTTAACTTTTCATTGAATTAGTTTTAGACTTAAAATTGCTACAGAAAATAGAATTCCCACATGATCTTCACCTAGCTTCTTCATATGTTAACATCTTGCATAATAACAATACATGATCAAAACCAGGAGATCATGTCTCTTAATGTCTTTTTTCTGGACAAGGATCCAATCCACAATCATATGTTGCCTTAGTTAGTAAGTCTCCTTAGTCTTTTTGATCTGGCACAGTTCCTCAGTCTTTCTTTGTCTTTCCTGTACTTGACACTTGAAAAGAGTATGCTATTTATTTTGTAAATTTTGCCATGGAGAATGTTCCTTAAATTGAGATTGTCTGATGCTTCTTCATGATTTAATTCAGATTATGCATTTGAGGCAAGAATACCCCAAAAATGATGTTTTCAGTGCTCCATATCAGGAAATCCATGAAGTCATTTGTTTTATTATTAGAGTGTTCACTTAGGCAGTTGATTACTGTGGTATCTCCACTATTTTTCCTGTTTTGATTAATGTGTTTTATGGAGAAATACTTTAAATCTATATAAAATCCCTGTTTCTCATTCTAATTTTATCTACTAACCTTTTTAAAAAATAAATAGTGCTCTTTTTTATTTTTTATTTTAGATTTTATTTATTTATCTTTAGAGGGGAAGGGAAGGGGAGTGGGAGAAAAATATCAATGTATGGTTGCCTCTCATGCATCCCCTTCTGGGACCTGCCCTGCAACCCAGGCATGTGCTCTGACTGGGAATCGAACCACTATCCTTTGGTTCGCAGGCCCGTGCTCAATCCAGTGAGCTACACTAGCCAGGGCCTTTTTTTTTTTTTTTTTAAATAAAAAATTATTTATTTATATTTAGGGAGAGGGGGAGGGAGAGAGAAAGAGAGGGAGGGAAACATCAATGTGTGGTTGTCCCTCACATAACCTGTACCAGGGACCTGGCCTGCAACCCAGGCATATGCCCTGACTGGCGATTGAACTGGTGACCATTTGTTTTGCAGGCCAGTTCTCAGTCCACTGAGCCACACCAGCCAGGGCTCACCTACTACTCTTGATCCATTGATAATTCTTGCTTGAAAATGTTATTACTAGCTGTTTGCCTAAGGGTATCTTTTTTGTTTGTTTCCATCATTTCTTCTTTATTTATTAATTAGAATCTACTGATAGAGAGATTTTCCTTCTCCCCCAGTTACTTATTTACTAAATTATGTAAGTATAGATTGCATTCATTTTTGTTATTCTATAGGTTACAATTGATCTCTCACTATTTTGTTGGTCAGATTGTTCCAAATTTGGCCACTGGAAGCCCCTTCCAGTTGGTTTCTTTCTCCTTTCAATGTTCTCTTTATTACTTATTTTTTAGTACTTTCTTATTTTCTGCACCACAAAATGTTCCAGGCTGATACTGTACTTTACCAGCCTCAATCCTAAATCAGGAAATTTCCCAGGGAACACTGGCTCTTTTTATTAGAAAATGATACTTGTGGACTTCTGCTAAGATGGAGGTGTAGGTGGAAGCATTGCTCCTTCTCCCACAACCAAGTTTAAAAACAACAAAGTTTTAACAACAAAAACGCAGCCAAACCACAGAAAATTGAACTACACAGAGGTCCGACAACAATGAACCCTTCAGCCAAACTGGTAAGAGGGGCAGAGCCAGCAGCAGAGCGGGGTCCAACAGGAAAGATCCACCAGACCGACCCGGGCACACAACCCAGG